TATTGGGAATTCTAAATTAAATATTTATATATTGCAAGTTATATATATATATAATCTAAAATTTATTTCAAACTGAACAAAATTCTCATAAAATATGGATAAACATAATATTTAACATTTAAAAACGATGTTGTTATATGTTAAAAAAAGATATTTACATTTAAAAAAGTCATTTTGTTTTTTGGTTAAATATTAACTATAATTAGTATATAGTTAAATTTGGTTATCAAAATAAGGATAATTTTACAGATATTTTAATTCAATGGCTGAATGGCTGGGGTGATTAAGATGTTAGATTAAAGCTCTAGGGACTGTTGGAAATGAGGTTGGAAACCTATAAGAAGTTTTCTTTCCAGTTTTACTGCAAAATACATCTTTCCAACTTTGCTTAAGTGTATGCATGTGATCCATGCTTATTCCAACACTAAAGTAACAATGAGAATCTATTTAAGGCATCATTCTGAAGATCCAGGATCAAATCTCGGTGTGAAAAGAACCCCAGGAATTTGTAATGTGTGCAGGAACAGATCCAGGAATTTCATTTTGGGGATGAGATTTGTGTGAATATCAGTATCCAAAATAAAAATGTTCACCAACATCATATAGTGCTGCTGGGTATACATCATACACTAATGCTTTATGTGACTCTGTAGGGAAAAATTCAGAGGATTCAAATCTGGGAAATGTGGGACTGTGGAACAGGGTCATGTTGTACTATCTAGCAGTTTCCAAACAGCTCTATGAGCCACTAACACATGTCTGTCCAAGAATGAAGTGAGCACCATCATGCTAGTACCAAACCTGCTGTAGTTACACCAATGGCAAGTCATCATCAAGCTATTCATCCACTGTTGTGTTTAAGATGTTCAGATATCAGTCATTATTTATGGTGCCATTAATGAATACAGTGCTAAGAAGCTGTTCATCCCAAATCCACACCAGATGTTTACAGTAAAATTTGCTTGGTGTTGCAGGTATTAGAAGCAAGCTCTGCTCAGTTGTGTATATTATGACAATTTTACATTCCATTTCAGGAAAAAGTGCTTCATCAGTTCATAAAATGTGCTTAAGAAGTTGTAGTTTGTTTTGCTGTAAATTTAGCATCATGTTGTACCATTCAAATTGTTGTGCGACATCCTCTTGTTATGTTGGTTGCAGATAGCAGTGGAATGAGTGTATGTCATATGTTATAGCAACATAATATTTGGTATATTTGTGTCTGCTGCAGTCCACAACCTATGCAAACCTTAACCAATGCTGAAATATCTCTTTTGTCCTTGGATAGATGTTTAAGTAGACACTCTATATATAAAAGGTGATTCGTTGGTGGCATTCAGTAGTTTTTTCTCAAACTGTTTATTTTGTTGTGTACTATCCATATAATAGCTCAAAAGTGCTTCTTATAATTTAAAAAAAATCCCTGTTTTGTTCTGTATCTCAAAAATGCTGATGGTGACTTTTGGATAATCTTTTTCAAGATTATCCAAAGTCACCAAAATCATTCCTGTCTGCTCTGTAAACTTGCTTATTAGGCCCACCTTCTATCTAACTGTTTCTGAGAAAAAAACTACTAAATGCCACTAGTGAATCACCCTGTATATAATTACTATTTAAAAGACTATCAAAATATCAGATATGTAAAAGTTTTCAGTAAGATATATATCTTAGAAGGTAGGCCTAATAACCAAGTTTACAGAACAGACAGGAATATATATACAGTGGGTGATCGGCTAACGAACATGATCCGTTCCAAGACTTTGTTCGTTAACCGATTATCGATTTATCATAGGTTTCTATGGGAATTTAATTAATTCGTTCTAAAGACCCCAAAAAATAAAAAATATATACTTTCTTACTACGTTTATTTATATGTAATAATAAAAATACATACACACACAGTCTTGCATTTTTATTAGTCATATTTTTTTCCGTTTGAAATGGTTAAAGAATATGTCTAATGTCAATTGCTTTCCTCTCTTCTTCAGGATTTTTCGTAAGTAATTAATAGCATTGCAATTGTAGAAATCCCCAAGCCTCAACCTGGTTTAGATGCCATTCTAAGACCGTTGTTCTGACATCCTCCCACTTCTTCAAAGGATCTTTAATAGTAGATATCAGCATTAATCCTCTTTTTCAGAAGAAAACATATCTCGCCAAGTTTCTTGGCCTTATTCTGTCCTCAGATCCGTTTCAGGTTCCATTATGAACTCTTCGATATTCTTTATTTCTCAGATGTGATTTTTGTTACTCCTTTAGCTGCTTGAGTCTTCTTGATTATACAGTATCTTTCTTAAATAAGATTGCACTGCAGCCTGCAGTAGACCTGTTCACACATACTGCCCAGCAACATTAGGCATCTTTTGCCCACTCTCTACCTTTGCTATTATACTCTCACCTTTCGAAAAACAAAAACAGGCACAAAACTTAATAAGTGCCTACAGTCTCACAAATACATAAAATAATTGTTTTTGTCAGAAAAATAAAAGGCTGGAATTACAAGGGAGAGTTTCAAAGTTCGGAGGAGTACTATCCGATCGGTATATACCGGCTTGAGCGTTGATGTCGACGTTTCCCACACTCCGAAAAGTTTCGAATTGTTTCCTGAAGACANTAGTATAAAATAAATTATGAAAAATGTTAGACATTGTATATTATATTTTCATTTGTGCTTTTTTTTCCAATGCTAATGATTATTTTACTATTTTATAGTTTCTAATATTTATACTTATTGTAGCTAAATTTTATACATAAAAATATTAGAAACCAATGTTTATTGTCGACGTTTCCCACACTCCGAAAAGTTTCGAATTGTTTCCTGAAGACATGGGAAGACCAATCGGTATTCATTATTTTACATCGCTTCTTCTTGTGTTTGTTCTGTGAGGTGTTCGTTATCCGATCATGTGTTCGTTGTCCAAACATAAAAATCTTTCGCGAAAGTGTTCGTTATCCGATCTGTTCATTAACCAATCACACACTGTATATATATCCTTTAGTTTTAACTCCTTCCCTCACCCATGTAAATAATCATAAATATTGTGTTGACCCTTCTCCCTAATTATGCAAGATTGTCCTCATCTGTTTTCAAGGTTATTAGAATAAGGAAGTAAGCTGGAACAATTATTTTATGATGTCAATTTAGTATAATATTGAGATCAATATTTATTATTTTAGCGATAAGGTAAGAAACAACAATAGATACTATGAATAGAAAACAGATTTATTATCAGTTATAAATAAAGAATTTTTAACTCTCATATAAATTTAATATTTTTAACAATTTGTTTTCTTTTGTAAAATGTTCAAGAAAAACTTGAAAATATGTATTGGTTTGACCTTCTCTTGTAAGCAGTCATAAGAATTTCTTTCCTCTTTTTCCTTCAAATCCTTATGTAATACTCAAATAGCCTCTATGAAAGAAGAGATATTTTATATGCTTTTTAATTGTAATATTATAATTATAATATTTCATTAGGGGTCAACACAATATTTATGATTATTTACATGGGTGAGGGAAGGAGTTAAAACTAAAGGATATATATATATATTCCTGTCTGTTCTGTAAACTTGGTTATTAGGCTTACCTTCTAAGATATATATATATATATATATATCTTACTGAAAACTTTTACATATCTGATCTTTGATTTATTGGGCTGCAATTTGAAAAAATTGTAGACCTATGAATTCCTACTGTCCATCTGTCTTTCCTTAATCTCAAGAATGGAATTAGATAGATGAAATCCAAGATCAGATATGAAAACCTTGGGGGCAGGAGGCCCTGATTGACTATATATGAATTTCCAATTTTCACCAGAAGACATGTTATTTCAATTCAAAAGTTTTTCCCTGAAAGCAGTTAATAGATGGCAGGTAAGAACTCTATTGTTAAAAGAAAAGTATAAAGTATAGGGGCAAGATACTACTAATTTGAGGTGGAGAGCATATATGTTAAATGAAATAAATTAAAAATTTCACCCCAGTATTGTGACGATCCCACAATAAATAATCACTCATTTTATTGTTATTAAATTATTGTTATTGTTATTAAATTTTATCTTTTATTATTTTTATACATTTCATTATTAATTTAAAATGCATCTCAAAATAGTTATAAAATTTTCAATGTTTCATTTAAACATTTTTATTATTTGTCTGATGACAAATCAGATATAAAATAAAATGAAATTATCCAAATAAGACTTTTTTGTAAAATACCTAATTCTGTTTTTCTACAATTAAAAAAAAAATGTATGCAAAAATTTTTACTTTCAGCCTTGGTTTTATTCAGTTTCAGGTTCAAGATAGTTGATATTACTTTTTCGTATAAATAGGAAATCTTTTTGGAAGAAGCATTTATCCTTTTCCAAAACCTTGACATGTTTACATTTTTAATGTTCTTTTAGTAATTTGTTTAATACATAATAGCAATACGTTTTTTCAAACTATGAATATGTACAGAATGTTTTTGAATACAATTAGAGGCTTCTGGCTATCATGATGTTCTTATTAAATATATAAAAAAACTAAAACAGATTATTTGTAGAAGTGATAAATAATTTTAATTAAATCTATACTTCTATACTAATATTATAAAGAGGTAATGTTTGTAAGTATGTTAGTTTGTATGCAGCAGGTAATCTCCGAAACTACTAATCCGATTTCAAAAATTCTTCTACCAATATTTAGAATGGAACTTCAGGGTGGACATAGGCTGTATATTATTTCGTTAAACATTCATATAAATTAAATGATATCATCTATGGTTAAGGCTTTTATATCCAACAGATGGCGCTACGAGTACGACGCCCTAAGTTTGCTTTTCTGCGAGGCATTATGCTTTTATGTGAAAGTGAACTAAAACAGATCATCTTCTATCTATCTATATAAAAAAATGTAATGTTCATTTGTTCCTACCGATTCCTTTAAAATTTTTACACAACGCTGCATTCGAATACGAACGTGTTTTTATATAATATACATGTCGAAATTCCTCCCACTGAAGAAAGATGGTTAGGATTAAGGCTTACCGTAAAGAACTCTGCTTCTATTTATAGTATTGCGTTTTAATAGGGTACGTCAACAGAATGTATACTAAGAAGAAATTTTTCGATATTTCCCCTGCGAGAAAGAGAGACAGGATTAAGGCTTATCGTGNGAACTTCAGGGTGGACATAGGCTGTATATTATTCCGTTAAACATTCATATAAATTAAAAGATATAATCTAGGTTAAGGCTTTTATGTCCAACAGATGGCACTACGAGTATGACACCCTAAGTTTGCTTTTCTGTGAGGCATTATGCTTTTCTGTGAAAATGAACTAAAGCAGATCATCTTCTATCTATTTATATAAATAAAAATGTAATGTTCGTTTGTTTCTACCACTGAACATTCCACTGAAGGGAGATGGTTAGGATTAAGGCTTACAGTAAAGAACTCTGCTTCTATTTGTACTATGTTAGATGCGGGTTTTTGCATTTTTGATTGCATTTTAATAGGGTACGTCAACAGAATGTACACTAACAAATTTTTCAAAAAATTTCCCCCCATGGGGGAAGTGTTATAAATTTATAATAGATACATTTTGAGCCACAACAACGCGTGGCAGGGTCTGCTAGTATAAAATAAATTATGAAAAATGTTAGACATTGTATATTATATTTTCATTTGTGCTTTTTTTTCCAATGCTAATGATTATTTTACTATTTTATAGTTTCTAATATTTATACTTATTGTAGCTAAATTTTATACATAAAAATATTAGAAACCAATGTTTATTGACAAGACTGTCTTGTTTATAAAATCATACTGCCATTTTATGTTACCAGCATAGAGGTATGAAGGAGTACATGTTGAGAGTTGATATTTGGCACAGAGTATTAAGTGTCCAAATCATTTGCGCATAAAAAAAATCCAGACTTATAGGTAGTCAGGGGACCGAGAACCGAGTCAAAATAAAATGCAAAATGGCGACCCTCTTCTACAAACAGGCAAAACAGGCACCTCACCCCAACAAAGTCAGGTGGGGGAGAGTACCACACACAGTCATTCTAAGAAGTGAACTGTGACCTTAGGACTGAACACGTAGTTTCTTCTATGTTAAATAAAATTTTTTTGATTCACTAACAGAAGGTGTGTTTCTATTTCAACACTTGGTGGTTAAATAAAATTTGTAATCTAATTTTGTAAATTTGAGTGTGCTTCAAATATGACGTTAAAACGGTTTTATGTTGTTACAAGTGAGTTTTTTTAACATTATCTAGTATAGTAAAATCGTGGGACTGATAAAAATTTGACGTTATATTAGGGTTGTCGTTACATCCGATGACTTTATAATCGGGTTAAACTGTATATTGTTTGTGCAAAATAAAAAAAATAATTTAGGACAATACAATAGCCACGATTATTTTTTTCAAAAACGGGAACTTTTCGTTACACATCGACAAAAATTCAACCCGGGCCAACACGCAACGGAGAGAAATTTAGAAATTGGATAGGTTAATTTCATCAAAAATGCATTGTGGCCAACGAAGTTTGAACGATTGCACCCAAAAGCAGCGATACCAAAGAAGATTGGAGAATGAGAACAAGGCCCACCTTGAGTGTCAAAGTGATTCCACTTAGTAGTGAGTCTCTGAGACAGTCTTGTCCCAAATATGGTTTTGCCGTTTTACTTGTTTTATTTATATTTTGTGTTCAATATATTTTTCTGGAAGTTTTTTCAAAGTAAAAATTTTTTTCATTAACGTATGTATATTAAACTAAATAATTTATGTAAATAAATTTAATTATAGTTTGAATATGATGCAGTTTAATATTTACAGCTATTATATTATTGAAATGATTTTCAGGTATGAAAGAACCAGAGCTGATTATATAACAAAATTACCTCCTAATATGCATAGTACCAAAGGTGAATAAATTATATATAGTATTAAAAGCAAAGTATTGTATATGATTAGCAAAGTATTATATGATATATATGTTATAAAAGTAATTTTTTTTTCTGTTTCTCAGGTTGTGGTGCTACTATTCCTGATCCAAAACAGGTAATTAAAAATGATGATGGTTTAGTCATTCCTGCAGGAAAGCCAGTCAATTCAAAAATTTCAAATGGTGACTTGTTATATAATGAGTATCCTTTTAGTCAAACTAAATTCTTTATTCTGTTTTCTTTCAGAAATGTATAATTTAATTTTTCAAATCAGGCAAGAAAAAATCTTTTGCCATTTCTCATCTGAGAAAACAAAATTAAAGTAAAAAGTTAGATAAAATAGTTTTTGATTTTCTAATTTATTAATCAGTGATAATGAAATGAGAAATTGATAAAGAACTCTAAAATATAATTTGGATTAAATAAATTATCATCTCAAATCTCATTTATTGTGTAATGAGGTCAGCACATTATAATTTGATGCAAAATATACATATCCTGTTCAGTATAGGGAATTTGAAAAATAAACAATAATAAACATGAAAGAATAACCATTATCACTTTTAATAAAAAGGGCTTTAATAAAAGCATCAAATATAAATAAGTTTATATAGAAAAAATCTAACAGAATATTTAAACATTCAAATGTACTAGTATTTACTAATTGTTATTAATATGGAAAAAAATTAATTATACAATTTAATTTAAGGATAAGGTATCAATGAACTAATTTTATTGACATACACACTCATTGACAAAAAAGTTACACGCCAAGAAAGAGTCATTGAAATCAAAAGAAAGCTTATTAGGGCAAATGCAACAACATAATTTAAATGAACCTTTAGTATATTGTAGGACCATTTTTTGCCTGAATGCAGTGATATGGTCAGGCATATAGGCATTGTATGCTATCCTCTAATACAGTGATTCCCAAACTTTTTTGATCCACCACACCCTTTATTTCATAAAATTATATCCAATGTCCCATAACTCATTTTCCTTTGTGAGAGGAAAAGCTTGGAAATCTTAGGAAAATTTTTCTATGAACTTCACACTTTGTGTCCTTACATTGTTCTCAACATTTGGAAACCATTAAATACAATGTTTCTTCTTACCTAACAGAGTAAAAAGAAGGTTGTCAGTGACTCAACCTTTGCCTAATGTCACTGTTCAATACCCTGCCTCCAGTGCCCCTGCTTTGGGAATCTCTGATCTAATAGATTTGGCTACAGATATTGTAACTAATGTTCCAGATCCCTTATACTTGTAGATGACCAAAGCTGTCATTCCAACTTGTCCTACAAATGCTCAATGAGCAACAAATTTGGACACTGGGCAGGCCAAAGAAGTATGATAACATAATGAAGACCTTCCTGAGAAACCCTAGCCATGTGTGCAGCTGAGCATTATCTTGCTGGAAAATGGCTATTTGCAGCCATGTGAAAATGCAGAAGTTCCTGAAAGTACTGGTATATTGTCAGTGTCTTTTGCACCACTAATAGGATGATCAACTATCATATGAAATGATTCTCCAGACCAGCACACTAGCAGTATATCATTCAACAGTAAAGGTGGGATTAAAGTACTCGCCAGTGGTCATCTATTCCCAAACAGAACTGAGAGTCATTGCTACAGATGATACTCTGCTAGTCCGTAGCAGTCTGCTTATCTGTCACAACACCACTGCAAACATTGCTGATGATGATGTACTAAAGGCTATATATATATAGCAGGTTGTTTTGTATGCAAATTTGCCTCTGCTAGTTGCCTGCCAATGATATGGAAAGTGTATTTTGTAGTAATTTTGCAACAGGATTTTGTAGCAATGCTTTCACTTGTCTCTGGATAGTGAACAAAATGCCATTGCAACTGTTCATGCTTGTCTCATCTCTCTTGGTAGTTTGTCTGGGTTGTCCAGAGCATGTTTCCCATGTGTGTGTCCCCTGACAAATCCACTGCTGATAACATCTGTCAGGTTGGAACAGTCCAGATAGCACAGTTTCAAAGCCAAGAATAAATTATTCGGGGCTACAAAGCAAGCTGAAAATTTCTGACTGACATTATCTTTTCCAGCCATCACTAGTCAAAGCTATAATCCAAGTGTATAAAGTGTAACAGTAGAGCTTAAGTTTGTGATGAAAGTGAAAGCATATATTATATATACTGCATTTGGCAATGCAAAATAAGCTGACTGAGCTTAGCCACCTCATAGTTATGACCCTGAGATAATATACAATTCAGTGGAACAGTCATCCTGCTTCTCTCAGCTGAATGTATGGCCTTTCTCAAACTCTGTCAGATGTGTGTAATGTGATTGACTGTTGTACAGGCATGTCTGGTGTTTGAAGACTCCAAACAATAGGTACACTGAAAATTCTGAACATAGACTCTGTGATCCTTTCTATAGGATAGTGGAGTAGAGATTTTAATGCCTTCTGGAGATGTTACCTGGTGTGCAATTGGAACATACCCATAGTCATATATGTACCTGAGACATAACTGTATGTCAAGTTTTGCTTAACTTTTTTTGTCAGTAAGTGCATATGGCAACTACTAGTCAATAAAAAGAATGTAATTCAAAATGTAGGTGATGATTTAGAGCAGGGCTTCTTAAATTATGGGTCGTGACCCCATTTGGGGTCGCGAGATTTTAATGCAAAATATTGAAAATAATTTGTGAGAGTTTGAAAATGGCACGCTTTGTGTCATAGGTTTCATGAGTTGCGCATTGTGTCACTTCTGGTGCAGCGAGACAACAATTTAACAACACTGATTGTAGTGTGAACTAGTGTAGTGTTGTCACTTTTCAGTGTATTCAGTTGTTTCATTTTCATTGTAACACAAGAGTGAACTGTGGTAGTACACCATTATTGTTTTTGCAAATTTGTATATATCTTTATTTTATATTTTTTTGGGTCGTGAAAAAATTGCAATCATAAATGGGATCATGAATAAAAAAGTTTAAGAAGCCCTGATTTAGAGGACAACTTCTAAAGTTATGTGCTTATAAAATTCTCTAGAGGCTTATGACTTTATCATTGTAAGAGAAATTAGTCATGCATTAAAAATCTGCTGATTTGAACATATAAATAATTTTCATTTAAATAAAGAGCAGAGCAAAGTTGACAGATTTTGGCCTTGGAACAAATTTCATTGAACTTGGATGCAGCAGAAATACTAACATTGGTAAAAAATGAAATTTTTTTTCCACTCATGTTAGTTTGTTGATAATTTGAAATTAGCATGTATAATTAAAATTTTTTCTTGTTATTTTATCTTAGTAATTATAAAATGTATGTTTGAATTTTCAAACAAATTTATTTGAAATGTAAATTTTTCCTTTTCTCTTTCTTGAATATTCAAATACTTTTCAATTCCAGTTTGGTGAATTTGTTTTTGTTCAAACTCATTCATATCTAAGAAATAATTAAAAAGTAAAATTACTTGTTTTTTTTCATGTTGCATTTCTTATTCAATTTCCAACACGATACAAAAATGGAATACATACTAATCTTTGTGTATTCCATTTTCTTATCATCAGATAAATTTCTCACTATAGGAGGAATTAAATATTCTAACTTAGATGTTTTATGAACTTAGATTCAAAATTTCTTATGTATCAAGTGATTGCTTTATTCACTGAAACTTAATAGTTCAACATCAAAATAAGCAAAAGATTTTTAAAAGTCTAACATTTTTTGATGTTTGGGTTTCCTGAAGATGGTCTATAAATAGCCAAAAGTGTTAAACTTTAGAAATCTTTCACTTATTCTGTCCTTTATTCAAATCTAGTTCTTTGTCTGTCTTCCTTCCCAATTTGTATTCTTGAGAAAAACATCACTGAGGTAACTGGTACAATTTACTTTTATGTTGTGGGTTCAATATCCATTCTTTTCATCTGATATGTAACTAATATATGTTACACTGATGATTTTAATTAAACCATTAATAAATACATAATCCAATTGAAAGGAGATGCCTCAGTTATGTTATACCTTTTTGTATTATTTATAAAAATATAGCTGCAAACATTTTCTTTCACTGTTAAGAATTTGAGCATTATTTTCTTGAACGTTAAAAGATATGTTTGAAACTATATTTTTATTGGTTTCATTGATATTAAGTGGGCTTTTTAACTAGATGAATATTATTTTTTTCTTATACTTAAAATGTAACATAATCACCAAAAAAATAAATATATTTTAGAAGAAAAATGTAGAAAACACATTGTCCCAATGATAGTTTCAACTTTTTTTAATCATCTTGTTCTTGTTATGCATTGGATGAAATTACTATATTGTATCATCTTTATCCTCTTTGATTATCATCCAATAGTGTGCCAACAGAAATTTCCTAGTTATTTTCATACAAACTTTTGATATTATAAATTTGAATTAGATCTATTGAAATGAAGATCGGTTTTAATAAAACATAATTTAAGTTTTATGTAAATAAAGTAAAATAATCAACAAATTTTGTTATGAAGTATTTAAAATTTCTAAATTGTCAAGTTTCATTTTGACTAACTGAAATAAGGATGTATGTGTTAGATTAGTCAAGAGCAACCTGTAACCCTTGGGACTTTGGCAATGTAATTTTATCTTCCTTTCTGTTTTATGCCATTGTGAGAACTGAGGGGGCAGAGGGACCACGCTTACTGGCAACTGTCAGAGAATGTCTTTAGGAGGGCTAAAATGTGAGTGGGGAGGTCAGTGAGTACGTTGACAGGTTCTGAATAAGTTCACAAGTTGATCAAAAATAACACATTTAATAAACAACTATAAAATTATACATATCGAAGGCCAAAGCAACAATCGAAATAATCAAATTCTATTCTAGCTCATGACAATGAATTGTCTTCCCAAGGGACTGTCTACGTTCTATTCTTGAAGCTAAGCTAAGAGACGAGAGAAACCTCTCTAAGAGGGACATCTCAGAGAGAGAGAGAGAGAATGTGTGTGTGTGTGTCAAGATTTCTTAAAAATACCTCTAAGTCTGGTATACGACGTCATCGGGACTCTTGTGGATCTGGGAAGTGGTCATCTGGTTATCTTGGGATAGAGACAGCAGGGGCCATATTCTGGTCGCTATCTCTGGTCTCTCATTTCTTGCAAGCCGGTTGCTGATTGGCTAATCATTTGGATTAGCCAATCAGCAACCGGCTTGCAAGAGATGAGTGACCAGAATACAGCCTCTCAGGTATGGCAAGATGGCGACTGACAGAGTGGCGGTATGGGGGTTGGTGTCCCGGGTAAGGGCCACTGTAGATGTCCCCTAATGCTATCAGCTGTGGATGACCACCCGGAGGACTGTGTTCCAGCCCTTTTTATACTCACCTCGGAGGGGGAGGAAAATCGGGGAACATTCTGATGCAATTCCATGTAATTTTGACTTGCCCGGGGTTGTTTATGTTAGTTGTCAAACATCCAAATCTTTCTGTAGATTTATTACTTCTTCTATCCGGTATTGCCACTTCTTTCCTTCATAAATTTGATAACCATTGTCAAATTAACAGAATTGCTATAGGTGACTAAGGTCAGAGATAGTCTTGCACCTTAGTAATGATTGTTGCCTTTTGTGGTCATCTTGATCTGTTTTCTCATCGTTCACATCAAATGGAATAAGAGGGGGGGTTTGTTTGGTCTACCCTTGTTAGTGATCTTCTTGTTACCCTCTATCATGTAACAAGTGGAGGTTTTTGTTAATTGGTTGGTTATTTGTATATTGAAATGAAGGTGGCAATGAATAATCCCCAGGTGTGGGGGAAGAATTTTATCTGCCTTCCTAAATATCTTTGAAAGTCTAGATCATCTTTTGAAGTGATGCAGTACATCACTGGGTCAAAAGGTCTAGCTTCGACCTCCAAAATTACGAAACTAATAGCCTGCATCCTCACACCATTATGCAATATTAATTAAGCTGAAATTTGTGATAAAGAACATTCAAACTAAATTTTACCAGTGAAAAGATAAGAATTATATCCATTTGGTTAGGATAGAAGAGATGCATGCAATTTTTTAACTTTTTTAAACATATTTAATAATTATTAATAGTTTTAAGATTCAATAAACCAATTATGCAAATATAATAACAAAAATAAAATACTAGCAAATTCCTTTTATCAATAATGAGAAAATTCAGTAATAACAAATTTTCTCATTGAGTTTTTATGCAAACATAATAATGAAAAAGAAATTAAATAAAGGGTTTAGTGTAAAAATAGTAACCAACAAAAGTACAACTCCAGTTATCATTACTGATAAGTAACTCTACCTAATTAGAAGTGCCAATTTATGCTCATAGAGGGTCAATAAAGTCAGTCAGAGCATACCACACTGACAAGTAATAAAGGAATCTTTATTTGCATTTTTCTCAAGACTAAGTTTATATGAGTTGAATCAAACCCTTCAAATATAAATATATAAAAATAAATAAATATGACAAAAAAATTTAAATTGCTTAAATATTAATTATAACAATATGTACACTTTCAATGGAAAAAATAGTTCTAAAAATTATTTCAATGTTTCTTTTTAATGGTTTAATGGTGTTCAATATAATTATTTATTTTCATATGGGTTGGCTACATTACTCATTTTCCATTAATGATTATAGTAATTTACTGTTTTAACAACTTGAACATATTACATCCATGATAAATTACTGCTATAACTGACATTTATGTCAATAAATTTAGTGGAAATTATTATAATTACGGTAAATTTTCTATGAAAGATTAAATTTATACTAATGTATTTTTGAAATAAATGCCTAGTTTTCATGTGTATATTATGAAATAATATATTAAATTTAGCTAATATTATAGTAATAAATGTCAAGAGGTAATACATGGGGATTTTCTTAAAAATTGCTGACTGACAATTTAGAACAATGTTTATTAAAATACAATGTTAAATCAACTTGATTTTGTTTGTTTTTTTAAATCTGTAACTCTTACTGTGTAATTTAAAATTTAATGTGTATTCAAGTAAGAATTATTCCTATTTGGAAATTTTGATATAATTATGATAATTAAAATGCATTAAGGAACTAATGAATTAAGTTAGAACTTGTCACCTTAAGACAAAATATCTTTTTTTTTTGTAATTATTTCATATGACAAATTTTTGAAAATAATTGATAATTCACATTTAAATGACTATTGTTAAGTGTTGTATAGCATTACTACCTAATGAAAACTGATGTGTGTATTTGAATACCTGTAATAGGACAAATTAACTAAACAGTTGATTATTAAATTTTATTTATTTATTCATTCTTTTTTTTTATTCATTTGTTCTTTTTCTCAATAGATGGCATCAGCATTTGCAGTTCTCTTAACATATTTCTGCACATTTGTACACCGAATTTAAAATATTTCCTTTTGTAAACTTACTGCCAGATTGGCTGCAATTTTTTTATCTTTATTGTTATAATTGCTTTTTTAACACTATGGATAGCATTCATTATTTAAATTTCTTTTTTTTTCATATAGTGATATATATTATTTTGTAAATCTCGCTATTAAATTTATACACATATATTTGAGCTGTAACATTCTGTGTAATACACAAAATATATTAGATATTATTATTATTAATTTGAATTTTTGTTGAGATAATTTTCGTAATTTGTGTTTACTATGAATTTCTATTATTGTTAGCATCATTTTTCAAAATATCCAGTTAAAATATCATTATTGATTCTTTTCATTAGTTATTATTTATGTTACATTTAAAACATTCGTCTTATGAGAAGAGATGGAAGGTAAGTCTTTTTATATACAGTATACATAAATCTGTATTAGTATTTTTTATATAGAATAATATTCATTAATATACTGAGTCAGCACTGTGATACAAATATATTTATATATATATACAGTAATGTAATAACCATTTAGATACAGGATTTGACATAATTAAAATAATGATGATTTATGTAAGAATTGGTCTTGGAGCTTAAATATTTCCAAGAACAGTTTTTATTATGTACAATACATATACCTGATTTATATAATGTTTTTAAGTTGCATTTTTGAAGTTTATTGAAAATTATATCTAAAACATTAAAATAAAATAAAAGTTAAACTTTTTCGATAAAATAGAATAATCTGTAGAGAATAGTGTCCTTGTATTTCTATGTAATATTATTAAATTGCTTACTTTCATTTATAATTACAGTTTAGTAATTCCTTAACAAAATATTTAGATATATTATCTACGATACTGCGCAAGTAAATATTAAGTATTTATTGAAAGTGAAATTCAACTGGAAACGTTAAAAAAATTTTTATTTTTTTAAAATTGTATGCAAACATAATTGTAAAATTACTTTAGACAACTGATACTTCTTGCAGCTGTATACTATAATTTCTCAAATAAAGTCATTTGTTGTCTTTTTTTATTAAAAAAAATGAATCATTCTTTAGAAGTGTGGCTTCTCTTTAGTGGTTTTAATTATCTCAAACATTGGTCAGAGAGTGTCTGAGGAAATGGAGTTCCCATCTTGATTACTCGGTAGAGTGAATGAAGTAATTCCGAGACTTTTGCCTAAAGAATAGAGAAAAAAGTCTATTAACATTTTTTCCCTTCAATGTAATTACAAACATTCTTACCTGATTTTCACACAGTGTTTTCAGAGTAGCCCCATTCTTAGCCATGAGATAATAATGATGAAATAATTTTCCATCAAAAAAATGCCAGGGCATGATGTAATAACGGGGAAAAAATCCAATACACACGGTAGCAACCGAGTCCACGTGATTTACTCCTCTCATGAAAAGTGCAGCCAGTTGTACCGCCCTGGCATCTACTTCTTTCACCTGCCGTAAGAAATAAATATCAGTAAAGAATGCATGACGATACATCCATGGAACCGGTAATTACTTACATAAATTTTCCTAATTTCGTCGGCATTTCTGGCGTAGGGAGAAATGGCTTGACATATAAAAGCTATCACCTCCCAAACTTCGATGCCGCTGAGATGCGGGCGTAAGATTAAAAAATTTAGGACACAACAGAGTGTCATAAACTCTTCCGGCATTTTTTTCAGCTCTGGAGATGGTATACTTATTCCGAAGCATGATCTGAATAATTCCCACTGATGATCGAAAAACTCTGGTTTATTGGACCATAATACTGAGAGATTTAGTTTTGGACCTGTAAATAAATAAATACCGTATCAATTCCAGTGATCGAGTTTCTTATTTTTATCGACAGAGGGCGTTATAGAATTATAAACGTTCCCGTCAAATGTCGAGTCGAGGTTTTTTCGGTAAGAATTCCATTAAAGTTAAGTGTTTACTCCAGAAAGGAGGAAGATGTCGTATAAAGTTTTAATGCGACTTTGAAGGCGGTTAGTAGGCGTAATAAACAAATATCCTTTTACTTATATCGCTATACTAAAGCTAGTTTCTAACCTGCCTACCTATCCGCTTTATTACCGTTTCTATCCTAGTTTTTTCCTCCTCCCTACAGGGATAAAAAAAAAAAAAGATATATACTTGTATCTTTTACAAACCGAACTCGTTTTACGATTCTTTCCAGTTAAGACGACGTTTTTTTATAGCTTAAAACGTTACGGTTTCAAAATGCAAATGAAAACATCCGTTCCAAGTGGACGAATGTGAATCTCGGCATTTTTAATGTAACTGAATTGGACCGTTGCAAAACTGGAATTTCGGAATTAAGTTTGAGCCTGCTGTTTTTTTTAGCAAGAAAAATCGCCTTTGCGAATCAGTACCGCGTTAAAATCTGTCCTCTATTGCTAACTAAACGGATTTTCGAGCCGTTTTCGCTCCCAGCTGTTATGATTCATTTGTTAGAAGCACTATTTTTATACGAGCATAAATTATTTGTCAAGAGAAACCCACATTGATATTCTATCAATTTTTTTGTACTTCAACAATCGTCTAATAAGACGTTCGATAGCGGGGAGAATATTGAAAATGGGGAGCGGCTTCACCCATTTGTGGACTGTGGTTTGCTATCGACAGTCCGTTTATTGAAATAAGAGGGTTGTATTGGGGAAGATTATCGATTGCGTACAGTGCACGTGGCCGGCTCACATGGGCCGAGAAACGATGCGTTCTGCCTTATCCGATATTTATCTATCCAGTCGATTCTCTTAATGAACCTGTACGGACGCGACCGTATCGACAGGTGGTGTTAATAACCGGCCGTTACAGAAATGCATTTCGTGGATTTTTATACTCGAATTGACAAAGAAGATCCGGAATTTTTATTCCGTAACCATCTGGTCATTCTGCTTGCATCTGTACGATGCATCTAGATTGGACAGCTGGACGACGTTTTGTAAAACAAATTGTTAGTTGCAGTCTGGACAAACAGCTACTTCCTGATATGTCACCCAGTTAAGTTCCCACGCTTATGTGGGATAGTTACACATACTTTTATATTGACATAGCATAATTTGTTCGTCCAGGTGAAATTCGGAGCTGTCGTGGGAAATTATAAAAATCCTATTTGATATTTTTCGAGTATATGACAACACCTGTTCTACCCATTAACACTTAGTCAGATAATGATGTCTCTTATCGGTCATCGCTATTGTTTTCGACCAACATGAATCGCAATTAGCGAATGGCAGTGAAAGTGTAATTAAAGTGGATGACATTACTCCATTGTTACAATGGGACAGTAGGTCGGGTCCGACCGACTCTCTCCAGGCGAGAATTTCGATAATTACGCCATCCCTACCAAATATTAATTATAAATGTATTGAAATTAGCCCTTCTCGGTGTCGACTCTTCCTAAGAGAACGCCATTTTTCGGCCAAAATACAACGATTACGGACAGTTGCGTGCCATTAAAGTTTCGAAAAGGAAGTTTCTTATCGATGCAAACCTAATTGTCATCTTCAGGATTTCTCGAAGACGAGCAAAGGACTAGTCCTTCCGAATACAGTGCGTGACGAGTTCGATGCGCCTATAGGCGACGTACTGTATTCTCAGGCCCCGGCGACGCTAAAGGTTACGTGAACTAGGCGTGGACAATTCCAGCAATTACTTACTGAAGATTGGTATCTGGTCAGTGATACCCGATAGCTACTGTTCAGTCACCGCTGATGGGAGATAACGTGTTGGACCGTTTAGCTGAACCGGTATGAGACTTTTTTTCTTGTTTAGAATAAATTATAGATTGGAATTCTATTGTATTTGTAATTAAATCGATGTCCAACCTGATTTTTATTACCATACACATATAGAAACAGCATTAACGTTTCGAACAATACCTTCTCCGGCCATAAATGACGTCATATGACTAAAAAGATTAAATAATCGAAAGAATACCGGTAATAGTTTATTTTTTTTCTTTTTTTAAAATAATGCCAATGACTTTGTAGATAGATAATCGCGACAATTTTGCCTAGCCGCCACTGTCTGGTTTGTGTCCATCTGCTTCCTGTTGACCCTACTTTTGAAAATGTTTCCGTTCGCGCACCACGTGACCAGAAATATTATCGACTTTCACAAAATTTTTACAACCCCTAGTAGGGTGTCGCCTGGGTAAAAACCGGATAAAACAAACAAATTCGCCACCTCGTGCCCTTTCGCTCTGGACAAACATGAGCTTTCCCTCATGACTCGTGCGCGATGCAATATAAACATTAGGAATACTGCACGAGAGAAAAGTGAGAAACTGTAAGTTTGGTTTTGGTTTTCGTACCGTCGATCGTTTTACGAATTGTTTGTATAGATCGACTTTTATCAATACGGCCATATCGTGTTATTATAGAGAACGTTTTGTACGGTTCCTGCCGATAATGATTGGTCAGCCACCTGGTATATCGGTAAGGCCGACCAACCCACCTGCTGAGTCGGTTGAGCAATCTCGTTCCCTATTTCCGGCTTATAAAACGTGACAATTTACAAATTTGGTTAAGAGCCCATATCACTAAACTGTCATATTCTGATTGCACAGTCCCATATTTCAAAACGTATGAAAACAAAACCTATAGATCTTTCACGTTACACACAATCGGCTGAGAAAGTGTAAGAAAATTAAACGGGAGCGTTCATGTTTGAAGAAATAATTTACTATCGTAACACGATCTGAAAAGCTTGTTTTGTAAAGCTAAAGCCCATTCGCCAAATAAGAAATCATTTTTGAAAATTTAATGTATAATTTCTTGTTTTTCTTAATAATAATAATAAGTATTTCTTGCTGGACACTCGCTAACCATGAAAAATTCACGAGAAACATATACACTTGTGAAAACGAATTTCTTTGGATATCCCGGGGCATCCAATTTATTATTACGCTATCCAGCAGCGTCGAATACTTGACGCGGTAAAAAATTCGACACGAGCGAACAACCTGTGGGTTCGGGCGTATTTGTAAAGATCGGACACCTGCAGATATCAACCGATCCGTTCGATCGACACAATAGCGTAAAGACAATGCGATCGGACGGCTCCGATCCGAACTTCGTGATGCATATCCGACACATCTGTGGCTTCGCACAGACACTGCAACGGTGAAATATGACGTTGTAATTAATGGACGTTGACTTGTTGGCTGTGATCGATCGGAGAACCATCGCCTACGTTTTGTATAAATCCTTTTCGTTTCCTTCTCGCAAATTTCGAAATATCTGACCTCGTAGGACAGACGGGGAGAAGAAAAGGGGCGGATGTGGTATAAACTGGATCCAAGCACCGGTAGATCACGCGCGACAAAATGCTTGTTCTGGGTCAAGGGAAGCCAACGCCGTCTTTTACACATCGACAGAACACCGATAAATAACGTCCTTGGTTCGTTAATTAACATACTTGCATGGTAATAGAGGTGACTTATGGGCGAGCAAAATATCTCGGCTTGATACCCGATAATTTCTAATATTTTGACAAGAAATGTTCCGGAAGTACGTCAAAACCCGTATAATTAAAAAAAGTTTCGATGGCTGATAAGATAGAAAAAGGAAAAACTAACCAGTATGTTATTAAATATAACGATTATTATGTTTCGCGTTTATAAATGAATGCAATTTAACATATTAAAACTATGATAGATTACAAAATTAAAACCTTGATTGAAACTGCATACCTTGATAATCTAGTTCTTCGGGTACTACGTACTCGGGCTTTTCCATAGGATTGCCGTGATAAGCGCACCACTCCTTTACAGTTACACTTTTATTTTCAAAAAGTATAAAATATAATCTTTTCCTTACTTCCCTGTAAACGAGAGCTGAAGGTTTTATTAAAGTATTATTTCTGTCTTCTAAAAGTTCGGAAGATTCATATTCTTGTCTACACATCAATGTATAAATAACGGGAGGTCCTTCCCCGTTAACTGTTATTTTTCGAGCTATAGCTAATGTGTCTGTATGTTCGTAAGGTAAGTTGTGAACATCGTTACAGAGGGAATATACAGAGATTCCTTGGATCAATGATTTCACATCAATATTCGTAACTGAGGCGATATGTTCAATTTCTTGTCCAGTCCACCGATTCCTACGAATTAATTCCACAGTTCTGGGCACTAATTCTGAGATTCTTGGATTTCTATAAGGCAATCCACACAGAGATTTATGAAAGTTTCTAAGACCATCTGCTTGGATAATATCGTTGCCTAATAAACATGATAATAGTGGAAAAAGTGAAACATCGAGGTTAATCTCTCTTGCCATTTGATGCCGATCGTACATAACAGTAATCAATGTATCCATATTCAAATGATTAATGGACAAATACGGCTTTGTGTTGTATATTATAAAATCACTATCCTGACTAAGAATAGCGAAACAGTTAGAATTTCTATTGGCATAATCGGCGATTTCTTGATCCGCTTCACCGATGGTAGTCCGAATTTCACAATGAAATTCGTATTTCAGAATACAGCGCGTTAATGAACCCATTCCCGTAGGCAAAAGAAACATTGTTTCCGGAGGATGACGTTTTGTAGATTTGATATAATAAAACACACCATCCGTTTCTGAAAGATGCTTCTTTCTTCTGCTAACCCATTCAGTCCTTTTTGATTTGCAAACCGAACCATCGTAAAAAAACACTAATTCTATACCAAACTGTTGGAATTTATTCACAAATGCCTTTATATTCTCGATATATTCCATCCATTGTCCACCATAAACCCAATTTGAGTCTTTCTGGATCATTTTATTAATTAAAGACATTCCATCCACTACTAATACAGGTGTACCTCCAACTGAATATCTGGATGCTAATTCAGGAATATAGATCCTTTTGCATACCTCTGAACAGTCATTATCTACAAAATAAGAAAGACCTTTCACACCCATGATTCACCTTCTGAAAGAAAAGAGTTACTATTAATGTTTTAAAAATCTGTTATTCCATTCTTGTATAAATTTAATTTACAATGCTTGTTTGGAATGTCTAAAATATATGCAACTTGATAAATTTATTTTAATATAATCTTATTGTAAGAAAAAATATATATATATTTTTTTGTTTGTCACGGTATTGAACTTTATCTACAGAACTTTTTTTACTTATATATTAAAAATCCAAATATAGGATTGATATTTGAATAGCAAAATTTTTTTAATGATTAATCTTTTAAGGAAAAATATTGCTGTTATTAGTGAAGAAACATTAACCAATTCTATATTTTTAATAACTGAAATGCAAGAAATTAAATTACCATCAAAATACTTCTGTGGACTATAAAATAAAATATTAAGGACTAATCCTTCCATTCAAACACAAATAGAATTTCAGAATATACTAAACAATTTTTATATTTTACATAAGAAGAGATCCTGTTTGTTTGAAAAATATTTATTTGAATTATATACTTTTTTTAAAGTAAGTTTCTATGATAATTAGTATTTTAGATCTTAACATAAATTAAAACATCTTTGAAATTTTAATAAGCTAAACTTTGTACTGTATAAAGAAATTTGAGAATTAATTGTTAATAAAAAATATTTATTCTGCTCAATTTAATAAATTAAACTATGAAAAAATTTATATTTAAAACAAGTTCAAATAAATCAAGATAAGAAAATATGCCCTTAGTTTTAACATTTACATTACCGTAAACATATGAATAATTTTATCTTTTTTCATTTATGTGATAGATCAATCAAAAGATCTAGTAAAAAAAATTTACATATTTAGTTTATTATTAATTTATATATATAATTTCTTG